ATATATATATGGTAAAATTATGAGATAAGAAAGGTTGGTAAAATTACTAGTAAATCTGAAATTTTGCCCGGAGACCTTTATTAGAAGTAAGCGGGGTCCTGTGTTATCTAAATTTTGATCTTGTTTCTATAAACAATAATATATATATGTTTAATAAAAAATAATAATTATTTTAATTATTTTTATATTACGAATTAATAATTACCAATTGCTGTTACTTTTGATAATGCTATTTATGACTAAAATATTTTATACGTTTATTTCTTCTTAAAGTAGAAGTCATTTTTTATTAAAATTTAATCTTGTCATCAAAATTACATTAATCAAATCTGTATTACAATAAGGAGTAAGGAATTATTTTAGAATCAGAATTTAATTATTTAATTTAAATGCGATGATATAATGTAATATTGATTAAATGCTGGATTTGCACAATGCCTTAATGCTCGAGTATCATATATTCCCTAGTTAAATCATAAGTTGAAGATAATCATGTTCTTTGCAATAAGACGAATAGCAGGCAAAGAGTTAATATATTAGTATATAAATCACGATTAAAAAAGTTCATTTGACATACCCCAGATCTGTCTCTTATACACATCTAGATGTGTATAAGAGACAGGCACTTCACTTCAACGATTTCATTGATAATTAATTGTAGCTATATAAAAGCTTAATAGAATATGTAGAATTTGGTATGAGAAACGACTTTTGTTAATATGATTTTTGATATTTAAAAGTAGGATTTTGATTTTACATAGAACCTTAATGAAAATTTTATTATGCATTTTAATTATATATTCATAACAATTGATTTTTTTTATCTCTATTTTGTTTATTATAATGCAAAATTTTTATAATAAAAATAAAAAGTTATAATAAATATTCAAATAGAGAAAAAATATGGTAAGAAAAGTTTAAATTTTATTATATAAAAATTCTGATACTATTTTTGCGGGTTAATTTCTAATCCAATTTTAATGATCAACTGTATATCTAACTCATACAATTTATGGCAGAATGTAGATCAATTTGGCTGCAAAATTATGTGACGATCTGGTCAAAATTAAAGAATTTTTTATAGTGTCATTTATTTTAATTTAGAAATTGCGGGCAAATTTGCCTGCAAAACAGTTTAAGGAATAACCTCATTGTTAGACTCTTCTTGAGTCAGCTTGATCAACTTTGCAGATTTGAGGATTAACTTGATGGATGACGATTTGCTAGTTGACTTATTGGTCTTGTCACTTGTTTCATTCAGATCACTTTCTTCTTCCATTCTTTTCTGTTAATGATTAGATCCTTCGCTTAGTATTTCTTCTTGAAACCTTTGCTGCTTTTGTTTGTTTGACTTGATGAGTGCCGATTTGCTAGTCAACTTATTGGTTTTATCACTCGTCTCATTCAGATCACTTTCTTTTTCTGTTCTTCCCTGTTGACGCTTAGATCCTTCGCTCAGTGTTTCTTCTTGAAACCTTTGCTGCTATTGTTTATTTGATTTGGTAGGTGATGATTTGCTAGTTGACTTATTGGTCTTGTTACTCGTCTCATTCAGATTACTTTCTTCTTCCATTCTTTCCCATTGACGATTAGATTCTTCACTCAGTGTTTCTTCTTGAAACCTTTGCTGCTTTTGTTTGTTTGATTTGATGGGTGACGATTTGCTAGTCGACTTATTGGTCTTATTACTCGTCTCATTTATCAGATTATTTTCTTCTTCCGTTCTTCTCCATTGACGATTAGATCCTTCATCTGGTGTTTTTTCTTGAAACCTCTATTGCTTTTGTTTATTGTTTTTTTTAGTTTTTTTTATTATTGCTATTATTTGACATTTTGATATTCACTCAATATTCGTTTTAAAAAATTGAAGCAGGTTCAATATCGTCATATTGTCCTATTTATAAATTTAAAAAATCAAATCAATTAATAATAAGAAAATCATTAACGTTCTACTGCATTGATTTCTCAATTGAAAAATCAACTATAAATCATAATTAAAAAAGACAAATCAATTAATAATAAGAAATTGTTAGTGTCCTACTGCGTTGATTTCTTGATTGAAAAATCAACTATAAATTATAATTAAAAAGTCAAATCAATTAATAATAATAAGAAAATCGTTAGCGTTCTACTACGTTAAAATTTGATATACTTTAATGCGGCAAGTTATACTTTGTTGAAATTTGCAGTAAAATCAAAAATATTCCTTGTATATTTAGATTCTGTAGCGATATTGTTATTATAGCAATACCACTTCGATTAATACAAAATTGTTACTTTTTAACTTTAGCTAAAATTTACAGTTTTTTTTGATAAGGTTTGTTTGACATCTGAAAATGATAAAGGGATGATAAAGTGATTATCTTGTTAATAAAAGTTATTTTAAAATAAAATAAGCTTTTTATTGTAAAATAAGCTTAAATCATATTGCAATTTTTAAAAGTATATTAATTAGAAAATTCGCAAATTTATTATATAAAATTACCAAATTTGCGAAAAAAAATAT